AGAGTTTGAAGTGTGCATTATCTTTCCAGGGATGATCCCAAAATAAACAACAACACCGGCAAAATCTCCCAATAATTAAAACGCCTAATCCACTTCCTGGTTGGCGATGACCGTGGGCTGAGCGTGTCAGCCGGGACTCGTGGGGATTGTGTGGCGTTTATGTTTAGATGCTTTTGTGTTCTAAGGTGAATTTATCGCCAAAAATACGAGGACTTACATCGAATGAGGGGAGGGCTTCAAAAGCGACATTAATTCACAGCATTGTGCGAAGCTTGTCGTTTCAAAATTCAACCTCTCACATGAGATGCGTTGGGACAAAAATGTCACTCCTTATCCCTCAAAAGCATCAGATAAAGAAAATCCTAAAACCTGTTTTTACTCCTCTGCCTCTCTGTCTGACTGACGTGTTATTTTTACACAACACTTTGTGTTTCTCGCTTTCATCCAGGCTCTTGTCTCCTTTATGTCCTAATTTTGCTGTTGATGTTGTCTTCCTTAGCCCTGTTTGGAAACCGCCACCTATTTCATTATAGCATGTGTGTTCTTTGTGTGTGGGAATTTCTGCATTGTGGCAAAAGACCTCTGATAACATAGGAGATTAAATGTGGATGTCATCTAAAACACTGTGCTGTAGAGTAGTGCTGGCTATCAAACCTCTATACTTACTGGCTTATTTTACTCGAACCAGCCCAATCCTCATGAAAATATGAAAATAATCCAATGTCTAATTCTTTAATGAGAGGGATTTTGTGAATCTGACAATTTATATAGGTTTTATATAATATATATAGCCTGAGAGCCTCCATGTTATGTTATGTAGCCAAATATAAGTGCAAGAAGAGTAAAACTATATAAGTATTATAAGGCAAACCTAAACCACAGTTACTTTAACACAGTAATAAAGGCCTATCTCCAAACAGAAACCCAGAACTAACAGAATAAGAATATAAAACAACAACAAAAAAACATTTACACATACTAATAAAAGACAAGACAACAAAAGACACAAGAGGCATTTGTTGGGATGTAACGATGCACTAAGCTCACGATTTGATTTTGTAGCGTTTTGAAAGTGAAAATTGAAAGTGTGCATAAGAACAGGAGGATGGAAACGCACTCCCACTGTATTCACATGTTAAGCCGAGCCTGCTAAGTTCAGTAAACTATCAGTCACAACCATACTGGACAGGAGGGGCAGATTCATTGGAATATAACTATTTGTGGCGGAAATCAAATGGCTTAAATGTTAAATAAAGTAGGTACAAATGAGGTTGCAGCTCAATAAACCTCTTAATGTCATCAAAACACTGCATATCCTACAACCTGCTGTCACGACACTGGTTTTTTCATCATCATGATCTTGGTACATAACGGCTACCGTAGTTGCAATACGCATTTGAAAACGCGAGGCACTAGAGAGCACTACTCGTTTGAATGCAAAATACAATTTCACTGCTAGATGGGAGAAATTCCTACACAATGTCCCTTTAAGGTCATGAACCTTTCTCAAATCCATCTGGATAATAACACCAACAACATGCCGTCATCCAGCTAGAATAAAAACAATTCATTAAAAGTTGACATCTTACATACAAGGTTTTTTTCACCTTCATATTTGCCAGTTTTGGGGCCCCCGTGGAGGCCCCTGAGTAGCTGCCAGAAGTCCAATTTAGGCCTGGAGCCAGAGCTACTCTGTTTTGGGTTTTTAAAATACCAAATAAATTGATATTAATTGATACGATAAGATACTATAAGATAAGTGTTAAGCTCGAGAAGAAAATACTTGACAGGAGTAAATATGAATATGACGTTTCATCAAATGTATCTTTTTAACCTCTGTGTGGACCCGGTTCAGTGTTGGTGTGTCCCAGGCTCTGGCCTCGCCCCAGCTTTTTGAAACCGCTGCTCTCATGGTTGTGTAGGTCTATAGAGTTCTAATTAGCTGCATTCACAAACAGCGCCGGGCTCATCAAAATGCCGAGGCCTGCAGAAAGCCACAGCAGGGGTGAGCAGAGTGTGTGTGTGCGGGTGTGTGTGTGTGTGTGTGTGTGTGTGTGTGTTGCATCTTGTACTTGAGGGTGTTTAGATGTGTGTGCGCGAGAAACAGAGTGTGATTTGTGTACAGGGATAAGTGCATGCGTGTGTGACACCAGTGTGTGTTCCAGTATCAAAAGAGAAAAAAAAACAACAATCTCAAAATGAAGATACACATCGAAGCAGCAAACCGAGGCCTAGCAGCCGCTACAAATTCTACAAAAAATGAGCCCCCCCCCCAAAAAAAAAAAAAAAATCGTAACATTTGTCGTCCTTCCTCACATTTGTATGCACGGCATGGGAGCAAGCAACACCGCCGAAACCGCAGTGCACAAACAACAACAACAAGCACACAACGAAGCAGTAAACAAAGAAGACGTCTCGACATCTCTCTGTTTTCCAGCCAACAAACAAAATGGCTTCCGAACGCCGTTTAGAGGCAAATAACACGAGCGGGAGCAACACAAACGACCCGGCTGGTTTCTGTGAACAGCTTCCAGGAAAGTGTCCTCCTGGTCTGATGGACGGAGGATGTTATAGAACACACATACAGTGCAATCAAACACTGGAAATGTATGAGGGAAATTGCGGCATGACCTACAACCTGATGTATGATCACAGCAAAGAGGTCGAATACAGAAACTTTACATCCAAACACAGAGCCAGCAGGAGGAGAGAGGAGGAGAATCTGACAGCATAGTACTTATTATCATTACTCGTACATACATGTCTGCTGTTTTTATCTGTAAGGAAGTCTGTTTGTTCATCACTTGATACTGGTCCAGTATGCAACTTGTACAGTGTGAAACTTGAAACCAACAGTGCACATCCACTGAGAATGGACTTTACAGTGAAGGAGGAGACGTCTTTAAAAAAACATCGACATATTCAGAGATTCTGGAATTTATAATGAGGTAGTATATGCCTTTTTGAGGATTTAAATGTGGAAATGCTACGTTTTATTTTTTGAAAAAACATATCAGACACACATTATTGTTCCAAGCTGACTATTTGTCTGGAGGGGATCTTTAAAAACACAGGGTTTTTTTTAATTTCCAGTTGAAATTTTAGACATACAAGGTTTCTGCCCAACAACAGCTCTTAGCAATCAACATAAAACAAAACACAGAATATGAGCAAGAGTCCACATTGCATCTGCACTCCATGATCAATGATTTAAACCTACATATATGCATACATAGATACATATAAATATACCTCACCAACTTTGCAACTCACAGCTGCAATTGATCTTTAGTAACGATGATCACAAGATCAACAGTACGTTCACATAACAGTATAACTAATCCACCCCAAATGTATGCTTGCACGTCAGCACCTTGTCGGATGATGTCGCACTGTGGTCGAGCACGAGAGCCACCTTTTAATACCCCATGACACATCGTTGTTTCACACAGGGCTGAAGTCAGTCTGAATGTGGCCTAAGTGATTGACCGACTCAATCAATCAATAACACACTGAGTAATTATATACTGACGGACTCTTTCACTAATGAACTCACTCACTGGCCTCCAGACTGACGGGACCAATGAATGAATGAATGAAGGGCTCAGTGTGTTAGTGAAAGAAGGGCTGACTGACACACGAAGAACGTTTACCGACTACCTGACTGACTGAGCGAATGGATCAATCACACATTACGTACTGTATAGGTATAGGACTGCAACAGCTAATGATTATTTTTATTATGAATCAATCTGCTGAATATTTTCTTAATCTTAATTTAAATGAAAAATGGAAAAATGTCTTATCAAAATAAACGGCAATTTATTTTATGTCAATCAACCAATCAATTAATCGACTAATGGATTCAGCTCTACACGTATTGGGTAGTTATATATATATATATATATATATATATATATATATATATATATATGTTAAAAAAGATAATATTTCATAAGCTATATATATATAATACAACCTCAAATGTGTACTTACTTACTGTACATGTGACTTATTTACTGACTGAATGAAACACAGACAAAAAACAAAGAACTTCACCTCACTTTTAAACACTCATACCCATAACATTTCAAAGTCAAAGCCACCGTGTCCCACCACTGATGAAACCAAACTGTGCCTGTTCCACACCAACAACACCACTGTGTAGAAAAACACAGTGGGCTGATCTCCACAACACACACAGAGGCAGGAAAGAATGAGAGCAGCAAATCAGAAAAACAGGAAGTCTCCTTCAGGAATGAACTTGAGCAGCTGAAAGACAAAACGCGTTGGCCCAAAATAAAGAAAAGAAAAATCGTCTCCTGATGGCCTTACTTTACACCACGACATTCAAACAGTATGTCGTTCACTGTGACGCAGGTGCAAGCTACACCTGAGCACAGAACAAATGGGTATAAACGTTACACATAGTCCCTTACTATGAAATTCAACCTCTTTGGTCAGAATCCAGCACCCAATGTGTGGTAATCCGCTGCTGAAAACAGTCCCCAACAAAAGCACTACTTCCTCCTGTTTGAGTAGCGTAAACTACAGTGACCGGCTGTTTTAGAAAAATACTCTTTACATCTTTGGTAGGAATCAATGGGCTTGGGACACGGCAATGAAGCATTGAGAGATGGTTTAACAGGTAATGAAAGCCATATAATCAGCAGGCCACCTCACTGTTTATACAACGTGATATTTTAAGCAGCATTTTAGTACAGAAAGCACCAACCAGCTCAACAAAAACACCAAATAATACATGAGCAAGTTACAGTTTACAAAAAAACCCTGCAATTTTTCAAGCCTCCTCAAAATAAAAAGTGATCCACGAAGCAAAACAGCATAAAACCCCAAAACTGCATCTGCATGTACAGAACATGTCTACCGACACAAGAAAATCCAAACAGCAAGCGAAGCAGCAGTGAGCAGGTGTAAGGAGGCTGAGAGAAGGAAAAGAGAAGAAGAAGAAGAAGAAAAAAAAGAGAAGGCTGACGTACTTGAGCCGGAGAAATGTCCGCTCCCCAGGGAGGTTGGCCCGTTCTTTCCACTGCTAACAGGAGGGGAAAACATCTACAAGACAAACAGAGCGCACATTACCTCCGAGAGCACTGACACTGCAGACAGCAAGACACATCTCTACAGAAACATCACTGCAGCTACACATGAAGAGCTTCATTCCAAAACGCCAGGGCAACATTTGGCTGCAAAATGCTGCTGCCAGATTCTCATCACATTACAATCTTGCTAGGAAATGTCTAATATTAAACAGTCATTGAATGAGCTTTTTTTCATCTGATCAGAGCAGTTTTTAAAATAGATATCTCATTTTGGAAGGAAACTCTTTGTGGATATTTACCAAGAAAACAAAAGGTCCATCATCACTGGGGCTGGGTATCAGTCCATTTTGTTTTGGTACCAATACCAAAAATAATAAATAGTTTTCTATATTTGACTAAAAGAAATTTAAGTAGATTATATATACATTGGTCTAAAATTGTCAAGAATTTGCTTAACATCAGGAACTATCTCATCAAAGAAGAACTCAACAGAATTGTAAATCTGACATGGATTTAATGTCTGCAGAGGTAGGACAAAGTCAAGTCCGGGGTCTGTCTATGTCATGACTGGTAAGTTCAGAGTAAAGTCCCATGAGAAGTCCGAACTTCCCAGTCAAGTCCTATGTTAAGGCCAACGAGACTCGAGTCAAGTCCCAGGTCAAAACAGGTACATCCAGCACCAAGTCCAACAAGTCCCAAATCAAGACTACCAAGCCCAACGTCAAGACAAGCAAGTACCGAATCTCATGGGAAGACAAGTAATAGGGTTGGGCAATTGGAAGAATATATTGGCGACCATTGTGGTTTTTTGGGCAATTCTTGTCATTTTATTTAGCTATTATTAGCATTATTGTTTAATGTTCTGCCTCCGAAGAATGAGAGCCGCTGTTCCCTCTCATTCAGTGGCACAGTACACAAAAGAACAAGTGAGAAGAAGAACAGCTGTAGAGTCAGAATATTTTCACATCTAACTCTGTGAATTAAAGGTGGCCGGGGGAAAATTTTAACATATTGGGCAATGTAAGTGCTGAGTCAAGTCCCAGGACAGGTAAACCCAAGTCAAGTTCAAAGTCAAGAGAAGTCCAAGTCCAAGGAAGACCCAAATCAGATTCCATGGGAAGACATCAAGTCCCAAACCAGGTCCAAGTCCTTTACTTTGCATTTCAGCTCCTAAAGTCAATATGTGCCCTTCACCAAATTTAGTATATTTAAAAATAAATAAACAGTCAGAAATAATTCATGCTTTTTCCAATTTGTGTTTTTGTAATAAATTGTCATTTTTAGTGGCGTTAAAGTTGAGTGGCAAAGTTTTTGTTTTCAAGTCAAGTCTAAAGTCAGATTCATGACTCAAGTCTAGACTCTGGTCCACGTCATGACTTGAGTCCACACCTCTTGATATCATTAGTATGGACACATTTCAGTCTGAGCAGTGCAGCGAGGTTCGATACCCGGCCCCAATGATCACACAGACTCTCAGCTCAGAGCTGAACACAGATATGAAGAGTTCATTTTCCAAAACACTGTGGGATTGTTTTTTGGGGAAGCAGAAAGAGATCAAATTCCTCATTCAGCATCTGTAAAACATAAACAGGATGAAATATATCACCTGCTCACCTTTATTACAAATGTGCTCTCATTCAGAAAGTGTCACTTAAGCCAAATGTTGGTCGACTCATTTTGGAATGAAACACTTCATATCTACTTCATATCTGACTTAAACATGTGAGATAATCATCAGAACTAGTTACCATCTGCTCTACACATCTACAGGAAAATCAAGCCCACGTTAAGACAGAGACTGAAGCTGAATACTGATTTCTGTTGTTGTACTCTACTGTAAAGCTTCATGGGAGAACAGTTCATGTTATCAAAGTGAGACGTGACCCCGATAGATAACCTCTCTGGATAAACATCAGGCCTGTGTGTCAGTGTGTTTGATGCTGAAATCTCAGTGATCGTGAAAACACTCTTTCAGATGCTAAAAGCTTTTCAGGATTTGAAGTTTTTTCCAATATTCTCTTCTTTTGAATTGACCACTGTATGAGTAAATTAAACCCTGACTAAAACAATAGATACTTGATGTGCCATTGTTCTTATGGCAGCCTGTGGGGCCTGCGAGCATGCACGTTGGATAACGGGGGTTGCTTGTGTGTTCCATCTCCCTCCTGGCTGCGACAAATAAAGGGAAAACAAACGTTTTTGGGAGCTGAAAGACGTAATTCTGATTATTAGCAGGTCTATCGATATCCCAGTCGAAGCACTTTGAGCTGCTGGTGTCAGCTTGTGGGCGTGCAAAGACAGATGATCGCATAAATTAATGCGACCGGCCTGCGTTTATAATGAGAAGAGACACGTTCTAGCTGCTGCTGCCCTCCTTTGTTTAAACATTTTTTTCAAGAAATATAATTTAAAGACGGGCTGATTGACGTTTTTGGAAAACTGTAAAAAATGAAACCCAGGAATGATGTTCCTGTGATAGACCTCAGGCACTCAGGAGCATTCCTGTGCTGATAAATAATGATTTTATAATGATTTCTTTTGTACTTTTGTCCACAATTATAATCCTGTAAAAAGTATTATTATACTATAGTATAAGTGTGCCATTAATGAGCAGTTTATTGTGATTTAATTTGTCTTTATGATATTTTTGTCCCTACAATATTACTATTGAGCTTTACAGGCTTGCTGTATGTATTGCTGGACTGTTTGTATCTTTGCAAAATTTCATATAGCGGTTTATTATCTCTCTGTGGTCTCAATAATGGATTTAGTGATCCTATTTTATGCTTTTTTTTAAATAAAAGGCCACTATATGGGGATAAAAATATCCCTATAATAATCTTACATGGATTACCACATGTCTATTGTACTCAGTTATTAATCTAATTGTCTTATTGTCAGGCTTTTTGAATAAATGTCACTATAACATTCCTATAATATTCTTACAATGCTGCTATAGAGACTTTATGGTACACACAGGCCTATATAGCCATGGCAGCACAAACATTTTTTTATTATTAGAATATTGCTAATAAAGGCATGTCTTTGGTTCTCAGTTCTCACATCTTATTGTACCTTATTGTCCTTTGTTAAAAACCACACAATAACATAATATTCCTACAGTATTCAGTGTTTATATAGTGAGTGGATACAAACTGTATGACCTATGGTGTTTCTGTAATATTGAAAAATCATTATAGGGCAAATATAGGGGATTATTGTGTTATTTTGCTCTTTTATTAGCTTTTGAATTTAAAATCTCATATGCTATCTCCTGTACATACAGTGTGCATGCAGGCCTCAGCTGTGGGTTTATGATATTTGTTTATTGCGTTAGCGTTCCTGTAGAGATTGAGAGCTACATTTATGGGAATTTGATCTCCTATTTTTTGCATATTGTGCTGCATCACTAGTCGCATTCTTTTAAAACTAAGATCTGGTATTACATGTTAATAGTGCCACGAAAATATTCTCCTCCACTCACTTACATTGTGTGTGCAGGCCTCAGCTATGATCTAATTTCTTTATTGCATTAACATTCTTGCAGGAAAATGCAGTGATGTTCTCTCATGTTTGCATCTCATGCAGCATCAGTAGCTTCATTCCTATAGATAGATATTAGAAAGATATTTCTGATCACTCTATTCATGCTGTCTCTCTAGGTTTCATAACAGGATTAATGGAAGTGCTTGTTTTTTCTCTCTCTCTCTCTCTCTCTCTCTCTCTCTCTCTCTCTCTCTCTCTCACTCTGTCTCTCTTCATTTTGGGGTGTTTCTGATATATTTTTTTTCTCTCCTCCTCTTCAGACTAAAGTTGCTCCCAGAGGAGGAGAGGCACACAGAAAACATGGCCGAGAGCGGGGGACGCTGTTTCCTGTCCGTCAAGTTCACAACGCAGACTGTCCCTTCACAAACACACTAACTTTTAAACGGAGCCGTGAGTTTGGGGCATGGCACAGCCTGCTGCAGGCGCATTCAAACTGCGGGGACACTGTGTGACACATTTCTCTCTATTCGGCTGCCTGTCTTTCTGTCTATCTGTCTGTCTGTCTGTCTGTCTGTCATGCAGGTTCATGATTCAACATCGAGCCTTTTTGCATCTGAAACATTCTGTGCGACCCCGGTGCAGAGTGCATATGGAGCAGCCCAGTAAACTCACACAGACAAAAAAAAAAAGAAACATTTTCTAAATCCTATCATGGGCAAAAAAAAATCAGGCTTACACATGAAGGAAAAAAGGACTTAAAATGAGATATACTACCATGGATGTTGGGAACATTTTCAAATCGCTGTTTCGCATCTATAAGACAACAAAATTACTAATGCAGCATCACAATTCTCTGCACACACACACACACACACAAACAAAAAAAAGAAATTACAAAACCAACAATATGCACTGACTTTTCTGCAAGTTACTCTACATAAACACAACTTTTTTTGTGTGCAAACAGTTGAAAGACTGAGTGAAGGCTAAAATATGCAGGTTATGTGCAACTCACAGGTTAAAAATGTAAACAGTGGTCGCTGTATGAAGCGTACAGGACGCGTTTATTCTCTTCTACTGTCATCATACTAGTCATTTCAATCCATATTAACAACAGAAAGCAGGAGATGGATGCACTTACCGCGCTGAAATCCAGTAAGTCACTCAGTTCCTTGTCTGTTCCCAAAGCTGCCATCCGCTGTTGATGATGCATTTTAGCAAAATCGCACGGACCTAAAGACATGGAAACAAATGGAGAGATAGATAGACAGAAGAGGATAGGTAGACAGATTGATAGATGGAGAGATAGAGGGAGGGAGAGGAGAGAAGAGAGGAGGAAGAAGACCTCGGCGTGGGTTTTTTTTTTTTTTTTTTTTGTGTGTGTGTGTGTGTGTGTGTGTGTGTGTGTGTCGCGCACCGCTCCGCTCCCGGGTCTCTTTTCCTCCACAGCGAAATAAATCCAGTAAAACAACCTCACAAGCCTCGATCACAAATCTAGTTTTCTCTCATCCTCGGAGCTCTCGGTCCCGGGTTCCTGGTTTCGGCAGCAGGAAATCAATCGCAAGAAGAACTGACAGGAAATAAAAAGACTGGGGGGCGACAGGACGGGAGTCTGTTCGCGTGTGTTTTGGTGTGTTTTTACCCCCCCAGCCGAAGAAGTCCGACCTCTCCGCGCTTGAGACGCAGTTTGTCCGCCGCGGCTGGCTGTCAGGCTCACACACGATATAAATAAATAACGCGCAGAGCCTCTCGGGGAGGAAGAAGATCACCTCAGAAATGTGTTGTTGTTTTTTTTTTTGTTTGTTTTGTGTGTGTGTTGTTGTTGTTGTCAGAAGAAGAGTCCAGGCAGGGTGAGCGCTGCTCCTGAGCGGGCTGAGGGTGCCCTCCGCTCGGCTGCGGGTGCTGAAGATCCCCGGGTACGCAGGACGGATCCCATGTGCGTCTGGCACAGCCTCGGCGCGATAAATGTGTTCGTGCGGCCACCTAGCTTACATTGTCGTCTAAAACACCGCCGAGCACCGAGCTGCTGCTGCTGCTGCTGCTGCTGCAGGGGAGAGCGGGAAACCAGCAGGAAAAATAAATACATTTGGAAGAAAAAATTGGTTTGTTGGTTTGATTGATTGGCTGATTGGCTCGGTGATTGGCTGCTTTGATTTGGATTGGGTTAATTGGGCTAATTGGGGTTAGAAAATGTGTTGTTTTTTTCCCTCTGCAGGGAACTGTAATTGAGCCTGAACCCTAAATAAAACTTTAAAAAATAAATTATTTATTAAAAAATATTTTTTTAAAAACGTGCAAAATATTTATGTGTAAATTGTATTTTCTTTATTATGTTTATTACATATTTAGTTACATTATTTTGTTTAATTCATTTAGGTGGGTTTTTTTCATGTAATCCTTTATGTTACACCCCTACACACGTGTGTATGAATGCCTCTTTCTTTACATATTTTATGTAAATTGGTTTTCTATTTCTCTTTTTATTGGTGAGACTATAAAAGTACATTGAAACAAGTGTGCCTGACCTGCATGGTAACCCCCTATGGGTCACCACTTAAACCACAACAGCACCAAAACCCACCTCTCTGAAAATACTTTGCTGTACTTTGCTTTTTTTTTTTTTGTGCAGCCCACAGCCTGCAGGTATAAAATGACTGGCCTATTTCTGCAAATTACACCCTGCATGTGCGGGTTTCTTTCACAGAGGAAAAAAAAGCCAGCAAAAACACACAGGTGCAGGTACGACATAAAGGCTTATTTGTTGCTGTGTAAAGTGGCACTGCCTGTTGGCCCTTCACAGCCCGTCACTCTCAAACAACCTGAAAGCCACGTAACGGCTTACACAGAGCAGCAGAGAGCACAGATCCACTCTGTGTTGTTACAGGAGTGCAAGTGTGTTTAGCCTCTGTTACGTTCCTGATCAGAGGCGAATTTAATCAGCAGTTTTTATGTTAAAAGTGTTGACGGGAAGATCTTGTCGGGGATGAAGTGGACCATAAACACACCCCAACTCTCTTTATTCACTTTATCAAGCCAACACACACCTGATTTCCAATCTGGCAAAGCAGGAAACTGACCCCGGACCCCAAACCCCCATGGTCCCCAAAAAGCCCCACATTCACTGAGTGGAAACTGCTTTTTTTCTTTAGTTTTTTGGCACTTTGAGTAATTGCAAATTGCACCATAACATACAACATGAACTAAAGCAGGTTGTGCATTATTAGCTCATAGTGTGGCCCAACAACAAACTTTTGCCAGTCTGGACAGTCAAAGCATTTTTAGGTCCCTATATGTCCCCACACAAAACCCCCACCACATTACACAACTATGACAACAGACATAAACTGAGTGAATATTGTCAATATCGCCGAAAAAAAACAAACAAACAATCAAAACGTACTATTTCGCCAGGTTGTCAAAACCAACCATGAAGGCAAACTAACAGGGATGTTGGGAAGTTTCATCCTCAGACAGTTGGTTGATATAATGCTGTCAGAATAACAGAGGTGAGTAAATGTTGATATGATGTGTCTGCAGAACAGAAAACCATAGAAACAGACTGAAACTGCTGGAAGGAGATCAGTCGGCATGGAAAGTTATGGAAAAGTCACTGAAGGAACACCACACCTGAGTGACAGAATAAGTCATTTGTACATAAAATTCCCCACATGAGAGGTTTTCTGCAGGAGGAACACACTACAGCAGTACAGTTTAGGCTACTTGGTTAAGATTAGAGAAAGAACATGTTCATGGTGCAAAGAAACCCACATCCTGCTTAAAGTTATAACAAAGATTTCAGTCCTGGTTGATTCAGTGACACCTGTGGTTAGTGGAGGTAACAGGTGTGTTTTAACAATACAGGTTTCTGAGTTGGTTTGGAAATGACGTGTGTATGGAGCTAACCTGACTGTGCCAGGTGGTTTGTTACAGAGAACCAGCTGAAAGTCATTGTTGAAAACTGTTTCACACTCAGTACACTATCAAAAAATACTTGTCAGGTGATTGATGAAGCATCTGTCTATCACCGTCTAGCACGAGCAAACTTCAACCAGATGAGTGAGTCATATAATGTATCAAACTCTTGCCAAAAACAACCTTTGTATCAAGAAAAATCTTCAGTACCGCTCTTTGCTCTTCTTTCAGTGACGTAATACTCTCCAGTTCTGATATAACAGGTAGCTGCCACTACTTCCTTTCCTAAAGGCCACAAACGCATAGAGGTTACTTACTCTAACTAACTTACTCTGTCAGGAATCACCACAAAGACAAAGTTAGTATCTAGATGTTGGAAAACGTGAAACATTTAGCAGCCAGATATGTTTCTCAGGAATCAGTGGAGACCAAATCCAACTAGAAGGAGAGTGAATATTGGACTTACATTCATCAGGTGGACACAAACACGACTTCAGTGGTTTGCTAACACAAATTGTGTTACAAATTTATAAGGTGATGATTGAGTGGTTATAGCTCGTTCCACTGCCCCTGAATGGCAAAAATTTAAAATGAAAAGAATGAAAGAATGCTGCTTTAAAGATCCAGTGTGTGGGGCCAATGGCCAGTGTTTGGCTTGTGTTTTTAAGATAACGAAAACACAAGGATCTTTATTTCAAGGTGATTATACACTAATGGAAACATACCTATTAATATTATATTCCATTTCTGCCAATAGATCCTCCTCAATGTTACACACTGCACCTTTATGGATTAAAACAGACCATAGGTTTTTTTAAGCTGTCGACAATGTTATTGCTGAGGACAGTCATAAAAGAAGATAAAAGAAAGAAAGAAACACAAAGAAAGAAAGAAAATCAGGGAGAACAGTTAATCTGTTAAGCTGTTGCTGAGGCGCTCATGGCCTGTGATCTATTCTCTGTGGCTGGTACTGACTTAAACATGGACAGATTATTAAAAACATTTATTTTTCTTAATTTCTTTCATTCTCCTGTTAATTCATAGGACTGTATGACCCTAACTCACCTTTGATTCGTGCAAAAAAAACTAGCTGATCTGTCGCTGAACTGTCTTCTGCTTCTCTTCCATTATCAACATGTGAACGCGGCAGAGTTGCATAACACTCAAACAACATATCCTGGTTTAGTCTGAGTGTTTTAACCTTGAAACAGAGCAGGAACGCACAGTTATGGTCTGACACGGGACACAGAGCGTCTGTCACATCTGGGTCAAAGCTGAGCTGCAAAAATCATCCTTGATACATACAAGTTATGACATAATGAGCTGGGAAGGAGGGGGCATGGGGGACATACTTCCTGGTGTGACTCAGTTAGTGGAACAACTGAAGAGTAGCCTACAAAATACCACAGAAACATAGAAAAACTGTGCAGAAATTATTCACTGTAAAACATGCGAGCTTGTACCTGTATTCTTTGATGTAAATGAGAATTACAAGCTGTTACTACTTAAACATAAATTATTAAATGTATTATATTGTTTAAAATTGTACATTGCACCTCCCCAAGAGGGGGACGATAGAGTTGAACAGGAGATGCAGAGGGAGAGACATGAGGCAAAGACACTGGGTGACAGATGCATGTTGGTGTTCTAAAGACAATGTGAAATGAATTACTCTACTTTGGCCCGCTGATTTGGCCCACTCCTTAACACAGTCAGTGGTTGGAGCAGCGGCAGTGGCTTAAGTAAAGCTGCCATCTGAATTTAATGCAAAATTTAAAACAAATATCCATAGCAAGTCTGCAAGGTGCCTTGTTAGCTCACCTGGTAGAGCTGGCGACCATGTACCAAGTTGCTGCAGCAGCCCAGGGTTTGAATCTGACCTGTGTTCCTTTTCTGTGTGTCATCCCCGCTCTTTCCTGTCTACCTTCAGCTGTCACGATCCATTAAAAGGCAATCAAAGGCCAGAAAATAACTAAATCTGCAAAAGAAATGTGATTTAATGTGGATTTTATTTCCCTCCACTACTAATGCAAATATTAGGAGTTGGCTGCATCAAGAAAAACCATTGGTGGCGCTAATTCTCCACTAGGGTGCCATTCAACCATTGCAGAAGAACGTGACCTAAGTAGGGCAGTGCATCATTGCTCCACACAGATTTGTGTTTTTGTGTGCAGCAATTTGTGTCTCTTCAGCGGAAGCTTCAGAGGATGTTGTTCACATGTTTAATGTATGTCACGATTAATATGCTGTTTCTATTGCACTTTGTCGCAGGTTGCTTTTATTGAGACCTCCGCCTCAGGCAAAAGTAAAAACCTTTCTGTGATAGTTTGACTTTTTTTTTCAAATGTCCAGACAGGTCAAAACAGGTTTTCATGTGGAAATTGAAATTGAGCATAAAAACAGGTGGATGGAAACACTTTGTGACACAGCTCTCGGAGGCAATTAAGGTATTTTAGAATCCAGGAAGGAGGATCATTATTTCAGATGTCCATTGCAAATAACCACAAATCTGATCCAGTCCACTCCACTCACTTTTTTAGGTTTTCTTCAGTATCAAAGTAATCATAGTTGTCTCTATGGGTCAGAGGTGACAAAAGTACACACATCCTTGAGTCAAGTAAAAGGAAAAAAGTACAGGCTCTGAAATGTAGCAGCCTTGATGTTGTTTACTCCAAATGCATTAAAACTAATGTAATGAGAGGTGCTCAGTTAGCTCAGTGGGTAGAGCTGGCAACCCATGTTCTGAAGCTGAGTCCTTGCTGCAATGGCCCAGGGTTTGAATCCGACCTGCAGCCCTTTGCTGCGTGTCATCCCTTCTCTCTGTCTGTCTTCAGCTGTCACTATCATATAAAGGCAATCAAAGCCCCCAAAAATAATAATAATAAAAAAAAACTAAAGTAATGAGTATGTTTTTAAAGTGTAATGAGTTGAAAGTACATTATTACGTACATATTGATATTTGTGTAAAAATGTAGGGGGTAAAAGTAAAAATGTACAGATACCTGGAAAAACAACTTAAGTACAGTAATGACGTATTGATAACCTTCCACCTCTGCCATGGGTGCAGTGCCAACACAAGGTGCTAATTGCTAAATCAGCA